AGCACATGTCGCAGTATGCAGTAGTGCAGGGAAAGAAGGAGGCACGCCAAAAGGGGCATGGTGTGGGCACCACTGCCCAGCGTGCCTTCACCCACACATGGTTATGGCACCTGCTGGGTCTAGACACTTGACCAGGTGAGCCTGTAGATGCGTCAGTGCTGCCTGCCTTGAGCTCAGGGCCATGGCCAGTGCTATGGTTTGTGTATAGGTGTCCCCCCAAAGCCTCATGCAGTGGGGCGGCTTCTGGAGATTGTGGGTGTGGATTCTGTACCTGCCCTGGGGCAGATAATTTGCATTACAGTGTAAGGAGGGGAGAGTGACTAGCCGCCAGAGCTGCTGCCGCGCCCTCTAGCTCTCTGCTCTTTGCTGCTGCCGTGAAAGGCTGCTCTCTGCCATGTGCAGCTCTGCCTTGGCACCAGCTGAGTATGGACTGAAACCTTCACTGACTGTGAGCTAAATAAGCCTTTCCTTCCCTGATTTTGAGTGTCAGGTATTTGTCCCAATAATGAGAGAAGAGTAACTGAGACAGCCATCACGTAAGAAACTAAGGACCAGCCAGCTGGGAGGTGGACAGCCCTGGTGGCCTCCACATGGGGGCCAGGAGCTTCGGATCTGAGCCTGGCCTGGCTGTTCACCCCCCAGCATTGTCTCTGTGTCCTTTGGGAAGCTTGTGAAGGCTGCCTTGTCCCGGTGCGATTCTCCTACTCCAGACTCATCAGTGCGACCCTGTATGTGCCACAGGGCAGGCTGCAAAGACTGACATCATCCTCTGAGAGCACATGAGCTGTGGTCCATCCCTGCAGTGCCCTTTCTGACCTTCCTGGGACCTGGCCAGTGCTTAGGCACTGAGTGCTGCCTGTTGACATTTTTCTGGGCAAGCAGAAAAATTCTTTCTAAAATTTAGGTTTAAATTCTGTGACCATTTTCATATTCAGAAAGAAATGGTAGGATTTCCCAGGTTCTTTTTTTTTTTTTTTTTTTGGAACCGGGGATTGAACTCAGATCCTTGCGTTTGCCAGTCAAGCGCTTATCCTACTGAGTAATCTCCCTGGCCCCTTCCCAGGTTCTTTCTGTGAAGTCTGCCCTTGAAGCCACACCCTTGCCCCATCCTGGCCAGCACCACTGATGAGTGTGGGCTCACCCTGATGACCTGCATGTGGGCCCTACTCTTACATGTGAAAGGCTACACAGCCAGCTGTGGGCACCAGTGTTAGGGTGTGCTGGTAAGCAGTTGTTGGGCGCCAGTGTTAGGATGTGTTGGTAAGCAGCTGTTGGGCACCAGTGTTAGGATGTGCTGGTAAGCAGCTGTTGGGCTGGCAGCCACACTGGCTCTACTGAGACTTGCAACTGGATGCAGCACCACTGCCCGGAACTGCTGCATTCGAACCTCTACCTCCATGCTGGAGTGAGCATGTTCTGAGTTTGGTCACCATTGCCTGCTCTCCCCTTATTTCCTGTGATTGCAGTTTCCAAAAACAGCAGCAAGTCCTTCAGTGCGTGCCTTGGCACCACGAGGATAATGTCCCATCGGAATCACCCTGTTGGCCTACAAGGAGCCTATGAGACAGAAGAGTGAGGCCCAGCTCGCTGGTGTGGGTGTGGCAACCCAAAGGTGCCATAGGGCCTGATGACCACCCTGTGTGGTGGCACTGTGGCACCAGGAGCTGTTCTAGGATAGTCCCTCCTTATAGGGGAACTGCAGAATTGGGCACAAAGTCTACGTTCACAGGATGGCTCGGGTGGAGATGACCTCTCCCTCCTGTTCCCCTCGCAGCAGTCACAGAGCCTCCCTGAATTAAAGAGGACTAGTGAGAGATGGCTCCTCTTGGCCAAGCTTGGTGCACTCCAGTGCTTGGTCCCAGGGGTGCTGATGACTGACCATCCTGCGGGAAGCAAGTAGACCATGTTTATGGTCCTGAGGATCTTCAAGGAACATCATTAGCTCTGTCCCTGTCCCCTTCCCTCTCTTTGTCTTGCCTCTCCAACATCCAAAAAAGGCCTAAGTTGAGGCTAGAGCTTCTGCCATTGAGTGTGGCAAATGTATAGCCTTAAAAGCTGTCACTTCATTGGAGAGTAGAGTGGGTTGGCTGACAGGGCAGGTGACTCTGGATGGCTGTGGAAGTCTCTGAGCAGAGGTGGCACTTGTCTGTCTCCTTCCTTCTGTTGTCAGCTTCCCCTGTGTTTGTCCTGCTGTGCTGCCTTCATCAGCCACTCCCTGAGCTCAGGCTTCAGCTCAGAGACCAGGGTCAGCGGAGGCCCAGGGAGGAGGTGATAGGCCTGCCTTTGAACCCCAGCTTCAAGATTTGTACCAGTGTAGTTCTGCTACTGGCCCTTCTGGTGGGCTGTAGAACCAGTAGCCAAAATAGATTGGTGTGTGCCTATCAGCTACCTACAGCAGCAAAAGGGATGAAACCGGAGCCCTGAGGATCCCCTTTGCCTAGTCTCTCCTTATTTGTATTGTTCTGCCCTCCCAGACCTGTAGGCCATCTGGGTGCTGGAGCCTCTGAGGGTGCATATGAGGGTTGCTGACTTGGGGGAGGGTCTGGGGCCTTGAAGGGCGCCCCTCGGGCGTCGCACATGTGGAGGTACCAGGAGAAGCATGGTTGCCAAGCCCAGGCCCAGTCCTGACTTGTGCAGACAATCCCAGTGACAGGCAGGCCGGTATGTGAAGGGTCACTTATCCTGCGCCAGGCCTACGTCCTATCCAGAAAGCATCTTTCAGTGCCCTGATGTGCTCTGAAGGGGTGGAAGCACATGGCCCTCCTGCGTTTCTCTGTCCAGCATGCAACCTTCCACCCCCATCAGCCCCCCGTAACAGGATGGTCACTTGTGACACTTGGCCTCCTGCAGGCTTAGTCTCCCAAGCCATGGCCTTGCTGATGCATGCCTTTCCTGGGGCTGGAAGCTGCCCAGGCCAAGGCAGTGCTGGGTCCTGTAAACTGCAACACTGGGGATGCACAACAGGTCTGCCTTGGTGTGCTCACATGATCTGACGTGGCGGCCGGCGGGGGGAGCAGGGAGTCACAGGTCTCTTCAGAGGACCCACAGGGTAAGATCTAGTTTAGGTGTATCTGGTCACTCAGAGGGGCTCGGTTTCATGGGGCACATGGCAGGCAGGGCAGCAGAGGGTGTCCAAGGTGAAGAGTCCAACTAAGACTAGACTAGGTTTTAGGCACCAGCAAACACCAGGGCAGGAGCTGGTCAGTGGCATGCCCTAGCAAAAGCAGGGCAGTGGAAACTGGACAAACTAGCATTTCCAGTTTGGTTTCAGTCCACAAACCTTTGGCCCTGTCAGGGTCTTGTCTGGCTTTGGGTTGGGAGGGGAGTATACTGTTCTGCCCTCCCAGACCTGTGGGCTGTCTGGGCCCTGGAGTCTCTGGGGATGCATATGTGGACTACTGCACTTGGGGGAGGGTCTGGGGCCTCGAAGTGGAGGTACCTCAAACTGGGAGGCTGCAGGAGCCCCAGAACCTCCAGGGTCCACCCCAGGACCAGGACTTACTGTGAAAAGCCATGGCCGGGAGTCACCCCAAGCACAGGACACAGCTCCAGCCGGCTGTCACTGACTGAAGTAGTGGCAGAACCTGTGTGTTGGCGCGGGAATGCTTTCCCTTCTCTCTGAACTTGAGGCCACACTGTTGGCACTGAGAAGTTTTAATCAGGATGCATTCCTGAGAAGTAGGTACCTAGTTTGTGTATCATTGAAGGTAGGCAGGGCACCGTGGCCTCTGGCACCTGCCTTTCTCCTTGGGTGCCTCAAGGTGAAACCAGGAACCCACACCCACCATGTGGGGCCCAGCCCAGACACGGAACTCACTCAGCAAACTTGTCACTTCCCAAGCCCTCAATATGTTCTGCTAACTTCAGATGGGACAAAACCTGGCCTTCCTGGAGTTGTGTGGGGCCCAGAGGTCAGAGCAAACCCCTGAGTGCCTCGACCATGTCAGCATTTTCATGGGCTGCTAGCAGTAGGCTTCAAAGGTGCTTCCCTCCTGCCTGGGAAAATATTTCCTCCTCCCACAGAAGTTTATTTTTCTTGTCAGTTCAACATGATATTCCATTTCTCACTGCCTTTGGCAGTGTAAAACCCTAGCCAAAAGAGGCAGTGGTGTGCCAGAGCCCTTTTATTTTTTAAGTATGTAGCACGGGAGGGTACATAGTGAAGCCAGAGGACTTGTACTGTGTGACCTTGCAGGCACGCCGCTGCACACATGCAGGGCAGAAATAGTGGCCCTCAGGCCTGCCCTCCCCTGTGGGTCCTGCGTCTCCTGACTGCTGGCAACAGGAGTCTGGACGTAGCAGGACAAGAGCCCTGTGGTATGTGCCCATCCTCCACCACCAGGCCGTAAAGTGAGTCCTCCCATCCTTTCCTGGCCTGTGTGGTATACTAGCCTGTGACTCAGGTCTCATCACACGCCCACCTTACTCTTGAAGGCACACAGCTTTAGCATGCAGGGTGAGAGAAGATAGACCTTAAATTCAGGTTGTCCTGGTTTAAATGCTGGGGCCCCCACTCTAGGTATGTGATCTAGGGCAGGTTGCCTGACTTCTCTGAGCTTTAGGTTCCCCTATACAAAATGAGCACAATCCCTGCCTTTGTGGTGGTTAGGAGGCGAAGTACAAGTGATTGTGACATGCAGCTGCACCTCAGCTCCAGCTGGATCCTGTTTGTATGTTACCTTTCTCCCTAGAAAAGCAACCCCTGTCCGCTCACTGTGGATTGTCAGTATGGAGGATGATGGTCGCCTGAGGGACTTGACTGCCACTGGGGCTGTGGGGGTTCTCCGTCCCAGCCCACCCACCTACCAAGTGGCTGCTGTGTGGATCAGGCCAGAGTCAGTCTGGTGTGACTGCCCTGCAGGGCAGGCCAGGCCAGGCCAGGCCAAGCACGGTGGGCTGGTTTCAGGTGTTTGGCATTTTGGAGGCCCTAGCAGGGCCATGTGTTCTGCATGAATCCGTATGGCAATGTGCCCTCTGAGTGATGACCCGTTTATCCTTAGGCCTCCCGGAGCACTACTACAGCCTCACGTGGTTCCTGAGCCCTGTCCTCGGCCTCATCTTCACACCACTGATCGGGTCAGCAAGCGATCGCTGCACCCTGAGCTGGGGCCGCCGACGGCCCTTCATCCTCGCGCTCTGTGTGGGCGTCTTGCTGGGCATCGCGCTGTTCCTCAACGGCTCTGCCATAGGTGAGTGCCAGTGCACCAGGCCTGGACCTTCACCCAGAAGGTCGGCAGGGTGAGTCATAGAGCTGGCCCAGGGCGACCCACCTGGGCCGTCTGGCAGTGACCACAGTGCAGGAGCTTGGCAGTGGTGCGGCCCCTGTGGGAATGCCGGAGGAACCTGCTCACAGGGAAATGCTTCCTGCCGCGACCGCTTGTTTTTAATGCATATCAGGCACCACGTCCTGTTTCCAGCATTATTTCAGAAATTATCTTTTCTTTTTTTTTTTTTCCTCCTTTTCTCAGACTTGGTATTGAAAATATCCAGATCCTAGTATGATAATTTATTTTTTGTTTCATGTGCTCATGTATTGTTTTGCCTCTTGTTGTTTTGTTTTTAATTAAGGCAACTGTGTGGGAGGGTTTTTTGTTTGGTTGGTTGGTTTTTTTTTTTTTTTTTTTTTTTTTTTTTTTTTTTTTTTTTGCTATGAAAGCATCCATCAAAACTGGTTAAAAGCAAAACCTTGTTTTCTGGCACAAGCTTTTGAGCTGGAGCTGCCTGGCAGGTGTTCTATGTTGGAAGAGTTTGCCCAGGACTAGTCACGTAGAAATCCAGGAGGGTAGACAGCACACCCTCAAAAGTCCTTCTTGGTACAGGAGAGCCACTCATTTGTGGGATGGGCACAGCTCTGCCCCCTGCCTCCGTGTGTCTCTCCCTTGTGTGACTCAGCCTCCTCCACCCAGGGGTGCCAGTGCTGTCTGCACCCCTCTAAACAGCTGCCTTCCCCTCTCCCACACAGCGTGATGGCAGTTTCACGCTGTGCCCATGGGGGTGACCCTGTTCACATGTGGCCCAAACGCAGCCAGGCTGGGTTCTGCCTCCTGACCACTGCTGGAGGTCTGTGGGGAGCTCCTAGGCAGAAACTCTCTTTGGGGGCACTCTTACAGGTCCAGGTTCAGCCTCATCACAGTGCTTTGGGGTGGCTCTGCACCCAGGCTTCAGCCCTGCTCCAACTTGTTCTCCGCCCCCTCTTGGCATCAGGTGAGGCCCAAAACTTGACCTATGCCTTCAGGGCAGACTTCCCGAGGCGAGGCTCAGGAGACTTTGTGAAGGTATTTTCTTGGGGCCACATAGCCTCTCTGCTAAGTAAGGATGGTGGGCTGCTTCAGTATTGCTCATCTTTCTCAGAGCCCTGTCTGAAATTTAGTGCAGAAATTGAGTACTGATTCACGGCCTTTCTACTTGCTTCTGGAGTCTCCCACAGTTCCACAGCCCCTGGATCCAGCTGGCTGCCTCAGGTGGCATGGGACTCAGGAAGGTGCCTCAGTGCTGACCCTCTAAAGCCAGTGCAGAGGAGGCGGCCTGCACACCTACCTCTGGCTGACACTGATTAGCACCCCATCCCTTGTGATGGTGGCAGGGGAAGGAGGGCTCCCTTTCTTGCTTGAAATTTAGGGTAAGGAAGGTGTCAAGGCCCAGTGGAGAAGGAGAAACACCACCCTTTAAACCTCAGAAAAGGGAAAGAGAAATCCCTTTCCCACGAGTCTGCCTGCCACAGAGTGGAGGTCTCCTGGAGAAAGGCCAGTGCTGTTCCCAGCTGGCTCCCCACAAAGGGAGCCCGATTCAGCTGGCCCGAGGTCTGACTACTGTCTGTGCTCTGTCCAGGTCTGGCCCTTGGTGATGTCCCCGGACGGCAGTCCATTGGCATTGTCCTCACCGTACTGGGAGTGGTAGTCCTGGATTTCAGTGCTGACGCTACCGAGGGGCCGATCCGTGCCTACCTGCTGGACGTGGTGGACAGTGAGGAGCAAGACATGGCCCTCAACATCCATGCATTTTCTGCAGGTAAAGTGCCTGTGCCGTGACAGGCTGGCAGCAGCCACTCCCTGAACTCCAGGTTCAGGGCTGTCCCTCAGCATGTGGCTCTGTTTCAGACACTGGTGGGCCAAAGGAGTGGCCAGGGCTCAGGAAGTATCCAAGGACATCTTCCTGACCACTTCACCCAGCAGGATCAAAGGACTAACAGTAGGGACAAGGGACAGTCAAGTCAGGCCTGCTGGGGTGATGTGCTTGCTGGATAGACATGTCCAGGTCCCTGCACTGACACTGTCTTCAGCTATGCTTAGCGAATGGCATTCAGTATATAGGCATGTATGGGGTGATGTTGTATTTAATCCTGGGATTAATTGCTCTTAATTTATTAAGCAAGAATTTGACAAGGCAGACCTGGGGCTAGCAGGGCTTCTTGTCTTGTCTTTTCTACCCTTTTCTCATTCCCCATCCCAAGACCTTGTGTCCTGACTCACAACGTAACTGTGGGGTGCCTAGGTCCCCCTGAGGGTATAGCCCTCCAGCCCATCCTGGCACTGGCCTCCCACACAAGGCGTGGGAGTGGGAACCACAGCCTCCACACGGCTCACCTGCTGCTTCTACCCCTCCTAGGCCTCGGCGGTGCCATCGGCTATGTGCTGGGCGGGCTGGACTGGACACAGACCTTCCTGGGCAGCTGGTTCGGGACCCAGAATCAGGTGCTGTTCTTCTTTGCCGCCATCATCTTCACAGTGTCAGTGGTCCTGCACATCTTCAGCATCGAGGAGGAGCAGTACAGCCCGCAACAGGAACGCAACTCAGAGGAAGCCACCGTCCTGCCCAGCACTAGACCTGGCAGCAGCTTGGCCCCTGCCACCCGCCTAAATGCCCTGGGTGGGGGCATGCAAGACAGCAGCCCTCCATTCCATGATGAGGTGCAGTCAGAGCACGAGCTGGCCCTGGACTACCTCGATGTGGACATCGTGCGCAGCAAGAGTGACTCTGTGCTGCACATGCCGGATGCCACACTGGATATGGAACCCGAGCTGCCCTTCTTGTATGACATCGAGCCGTCCATCTTCCAAGATGCCTCCTATCCCAGCACCCCCCGCAGCACCAGCCAGGAGCTCCTGAAGGCCAGGCTGCCCCACCTGTCCACCTTCCTCAGGGAATCCACCAAGGAGGATGATACCTTGCTTGATAATCACTTGAATGAAGCTAGAGTCCCAAATGGAAGTGGCTCTCCACCAAGAGACACCCTCAGCAGCTGCACCAGGGTGGATCTGAAACTCTCAGCTACATCCAGCTCCATGAGGCGGCGGAGGCACATGTTCCGCCGTCAAGCCTCCAGCACCTTCTCTTACTATGGCAAGGTTGGATCCCACTGCTACCGCTACCGTCGGGCCAATGCAGTGGTCCTGATCAAACCCTCCCGCAGCATGAGTGACCTCTATGACTTACAGCAGCGGCAGCGGCAGCGCAACCGGCACCGGAACCAGAGTGGGGCTACCAACTCCAGTGGGGACACAGAGAGCGAGGAGGGCGAGGGTGAGACCACCGTGCGCCTTCTGTGGCTGTCCATGCTGAAGATGCCAAGGGAGCTGATGCGCCTTTGCCTTTGCCACCTGCTCACCTGGTTCTCTGTCATCGCCGAGGCTGTCTTCTACACCGACTTCATGGGCCAGGTCATCTTCAAAGGTGACCCCAAAGTGAGTGCTCTGTGAGCTGGGAGGAGGTGGCCTGGGGGGCTTCATCAGTGGGTTGCTCTGTCTTCCTGACTTCTTGTCGCTGAGACAAAATACTGGACACTCAGAGTGAAAAGAGAAAAGGCTTATTTAGCTCACAGTTGTAGAGGTTTCAGTCCATATTCAGGCGGCTCCAAGGCCAGGCAGGGCATGACAGAGGCGACAGCTCATGGCAGGGGAGACAGCAAAACCAGCACGGGAAGAGCCAAGACCCTTCCTGTCCCTTATGTTGCTGCAGGCTACCTGCCCTAGGGTGGGTGTAGCACGCCCCCTTAGTCCTAGCCAGAACTGTGCCAGACCAGTCAGAGGGCTGATTTACTAATCACACACTTTTAATCCCAGCATCACACTCTAGATTTAGCTACCTCTGGGGGAAAAAAAAAAGCCCTGTGACCACATGAAGCTTTGGAGGGACATTTAGACACAAACCATCACACTTTCGAGGTGCTGTTTGCTGGCCCTGTACCCTTGTGACCACATTGGAGAGAACATATGGCAGGCAGCTGCTTGGCCTGCAGCTCTGTTCTGTGGCCCAGTTGTGTGAGCCCAAGGCTGTAGGGTACGGTGCATGGGGAGCAGGTGTGGGTGCCAAGCCCTTGCAGAGGATGGAAGCATTCTGAGAAGCCTAGATGGGCATTGTTTCAGCCATTTATTGCCTTGAGTTGTGACACTGCCCCAGAACTTGGCTGTAATGGGAACAGTTCCCTTTGGGCTCAGCTGATGGCTCTCGGGCCCCATGGTGTCTCCTGGGCACATCCTGTGGCCATGTTGGCCACCTCTCCGGGGGACCATGATGGCCTCACACACACTCAGGATCCATCTTGACCCCTCCAGGTCTGCCATGGCAGCTCAAGGGGCCAGGGTCACTCCTGCTGGTAGAGACCAGCCCATCTTTTGAGAGTGGAGGAGATAGCAAGTGACAGGTGGGCCAGAAAAGACTGGGAAGTGACTTTTCAGATATTGAACTTGGATTCAGAGGTGATTCTCTTTGCCATACTCTTAAGCAGCTTGCCAGTGCCCTAATCCTAACCTCTTTCTGTAACAGGCAGCCTCCAATTCCCCTGAAGGGCAGGCCTACAGTGCCGGTGTGAAGATGGGCTGCTGGGGCCTGGTCATTTATGCTGCCACCAGTGCTATTTGCTCAGGTAAGAGGTGCCCAGATCCAGTAAGCATTTGCAGCTGGAGAATGCTCCGAGCTTGGAAATACGGAGTGTGAGTGGGGCCTTGTTTCTGCTAGGAACGGCTACCTTCACAGGCCCTTCAAGATGCCCTGCGATGTGCTGTCCTACAGTGCTATCCAATTTAAACAACACCTGTGTTAGGCATGTTGTCCCAGCCCTGCCAGCTCAGGGCTGGAAGGAGATCAGGGCCTTGCCCAGGGGTCAGCAGTCAAAATGGGAGAAGCTGATGTAAGCTGCTGGACAGGGCCCCTTACAGTACAGCTACATCCTGAAGTGGAGTCAGGTTGGCAGCTTTTCATCTTGGGACCAGGCCTCATCATAGCTCGCTGGGGTTGACTGCCTGCCCTGCCCACACATTGCCAGAACTGAGGGGAGGAGGTCAGCTTTGTGTTATCCTTGTGAGGACTTGGGGATGGCCAGTGTAAGTACCAAGGTCAGCCAGGGGCCAGCACCAGAGTGACCATGTTGTTGTCACCTCTCTAATGGAGGGATTCTTGGAGAGTGCATGGGGACAGGTCAGGTGAGAGATATTGCCTGTACCTGCTGGTCCAGATTTGGTTTCAGGGAGGTGTTTCTGGGGAAGGGGAGAGGGGGATGGGGAAGGGGAAGGAGCCCCTCTTGAGTGGGCGGCTTGATCACTGATCCTGTGGCCTCTCTCCGCAGCCTTGCTACAGAAGTACCTAGACAACTATGACTTGAGCATCAGGGTGATCTACGTGCTGGGAACACTGGGCTTCTCTGTGGGCACAGCTGTGATGGCCATGTTCCCCAATGTCTATGTGGCCATGGTCACCATCAGCACCATGGGCATTGTATCTATGAGCATCTCCTACTGCCCCTACGCCCTGCTAGGGCACTACCATGAGATCAAAGAGGTATGTCGGGCCCAGTGGTGTCTGGCTAGGGTGGCAATAGGTGGCCCCAGGCTGAGTCTGCAGCCTGTCTGGCCCAGACCCTGGGCTCTCAGCATCCCGCTATCCCCTCCACATGAGCTGAGCACCTCCCACCTGTGGAGTGTCTGAGACACAGTTCGTCCCCTTCATCTTCCATTCAGATGAAACCAGAAACTGCCAGTGGCCCCACTCAATCCCTGGTCAGGTCACAAGTCTCTTCCAGCTGCCCGGGCCACTCAAGAGACTTTAGAGGCTGGTGCGATCGCTGGGTCAGGGCAGGGCGAGAGGCACGTTTCTGATGCTCGGTAGCCCAGGTGCAAGTGCAGGCCAAGGCTGTACAGCATAACCTATAGGCCTTCAGGGAGAGGGGGAAGGTCTGTGTCTCCTTCCTAATCCTAAACTCTGTTTACTGTCCTAATCTCTCACGCAGTTATTAAGGCAAATTACAGATTAGAAGCACACCAAACAGTAGGGATGAAATTCTAATGGCATTATTTTCAACCACTTACCAGTCCAATTAAGGATGACCAAAAATTGTATATTTTGTTAATTTTCCATTTATAAGATGATACAACAGGAAATACTAAAAAATACACTCAGTACAAGGTGGTTGAAATTATACTTGCCAGAGTGATGCTCAGAACAGTCAGTGCGTGACCACTGCCTGAGTGATGCTCAGGGTGAGATACTAAGTGGTTAAATGAAATTGTAAGTTAAAACATAGAAGACCACTAACTAAACGTCGAATAAACTGCTTCATGGCTTTGAAGAAAGGAGAACACAGTTGCTTAAGCAGTCCAGACAGAGGAAGACCATTGCCAGAGCCCCCTGATCCCCCTTCTGTCATCCTAAAGGTGACCACTGTGTAACTTCTAATACCATGTAATCCTAGTGCCTCTTCCTGAACTTTCTAGGACTAGACTGGCTTACTTTGTGTCCCCTCATCCTGACTGACTCACTCATGGCCGCAGCACTTTGTGTATCTGCACGTTCCCGGTGAGCCTGGGTTCCTAACACAGCCTTGTGTGCCATGCTGTCCTGACCACAGGTCCTGTGTGCCAGGCTCCTAATCCCATTCTCAGTGTGCCTACAGGTTCCTGCCTGCATCCCTAGTGTGACTGGGCTCTGGATCACCTCCTTGGTGTGTTGGGCTCCTAACTGCATGCGCAGTGTGTCCCTGGGGTCCTGATCAGTTGCCCCATGTTCCTATGGGTCCCTGTCACCCTGCTTTGATGCGCTTGGTTCTTCCAGTTCAGGGCTTCCCAGACGTGCAGCCCCAGCATTCCTCTTCCTGGTGTTTTGTGCTCTGCCACCTCTGCCTGGACAGGCAGTTTGTGTGGCTTACAGTAGCAGATCAAGGTTCTTACTGTCACTGTAGGGCCATCTTTATTGCAAACTGCATGTTGAATTCTGTACAGGGGATTCTGGCCCTCTGATCTTTATAGTTTCGGACAAATGTCTTGCTTTGCTAGCTCAAGTAACTCTGTTCTTCAGTAACGAGAGTGAGATTGTCTTGGCTACTCTTAGCTGTTCTTCACCTAAATGTTAGATTCCTTCTGGGCCTTCTTGCCTTTATTGAAAACAAATCCACTTTATCTGCAGATCAATTTGGGAAAAGTTAATAACTGCATTGTAAGCCTTTCCATCCCCTAGTATCTCCTAGACTAATAAATTTTAACAGCTCGCCTCTAGGTTCTTTATTCTGTGCTTAAGTGTGCAGCCATGTCGCCTGTGCATAGTTGTAGTTCCTCCTCCCTAACCCCTGGTGCATTTTCTTTCCTTACCTTGCATCTTGCAATGACTGTAACCGCTGACATAATGTTGAATAAAGTGGTATTGAGTTTCAGCCCTTAAAACTCCAGTGGGTGGTCCTTATTGTCTCACTAGAAAGGAGGACAGTGCTTTCAGTTGGAGTTTCCAGGTCGGTGAGATGTCTCTGGCACCATGTGCCACACCAGCTCTGCCCCTGGGCGCCCTGAGCTGGCCACTGAGACCAGGCCTGGTGGTACATGCCTGTAATGCCAGCTCTGGGGAGGTTGAAGGCAGGAGGATCACTACAAGTCTGAACTGCGTAGTGAGATCCTGTACCAAATACATTTAAAAAAACAAATGTTGCTGAATTTTTGACATTTGGGAGAATTTGCCATGGTTGTGTTATTGGTGTTTTGTAATTATTTGCAGTCAGAAAACATACCCTTCACTGACCTCAGCCCTCAAAATTAGTTGAGGTTCCCTTTGTGGCCGAGGGTATTTGCAGGTATTGATAAATGTTCAGGATTTACTTAAAAAGAAAGTGTATTCTATGCTTTGGGTCCTATTTCCAGTAGATCAAATTTGTTCATTGTTTTACCCTCCTGATCTTTTATGGTTTTTGTATCTGCTTATTTTATGAAAAGTTTATAAAGTCTTTTTCCACTGTAGTTGTGGTACATACAAATGTGTATACCCACATGCATCTAGAATTGCCTTGTTTCTTATCTTCTTCGTGGACTGGCTGTCCTTCATTATCTCCAGGGCAGCTTCCTGTGGAAAACTGGTATGGGCCCAGCAGGACAGGCACACCAGTGTTCTTTCCTGGCTTGTGTGACAGGAGAGCACCCATGAAGCTTCCCCTCTGTTTGTACTGGTGCAGTCGGCTCGGCCAGGTGCTCAGGCTCCTGTGCGGCAGGGAGTGGCCAGCAGTGCTGGCAGTGGCTGGCACAGGCTCCTAAGTCCCTTGCTCTGGCTCCCACTGGAGAGCCCCAGCCTAAGGGGAGTCACCTCATTTAAACCCTGTCCTGCCACCCTTCCTTGGGCTGAAGGTGGGTCCCCGGGAGCTATGTCCTGATGGCATCGCAAAGTTGCTTCCATTGTCCTTTCCCAAGAGCTGGCTCTTTCTGCCCCTCCTGCCTGCAGACTCCCACTGCACAGCCTTTCCTGACTGTGTTCCCTTCCCTTGCAGTATGTCCACCACAGCCCTGGGAATTCAAAACGTGGGTTTGGAATCGACTGCGCCATCCTCTCCTGCCAGGTCTACATCTCCCAGATCCTGGTGGCATCTGCCCTTGGGAGCGTGGTTGAAGTTGTGAAGACCGTCCGTGTCATCCCCATGGTGGCCTCTGTGGGCTCCTTCTTGGGCTTCCTGACAGCCACATTCCTGGTGATCTATCCTGAGGTGTCGGAGGAGGCCAAGGAAGAGCAGAAAGGCCTGTCTGCGCAACCTGCTAGTGACAGTGCAGGCGGTGACAAGCCCACGGTCCTGAGGCTCTCTCGGAAGGAGGGCCTGCAGAGTCCAGTGGAGACCGAGTCCATGGTCTGAGCTCTGGCTGACACATTCCACATGGGAGGCGGGTAGGAGGCCGATGGCCACTGGTGTTGCTGGCGCTTGGAGGACAGCGCTGGCCAGTGCTCTTTCTCCAAATAATCGAAGTTCACTAGTTGTAGGGTAGGTTTGAGCTATTAGGCAAAATTATCACACTAATTACTTTTCCCACAATTAAAAAAATCATTTGAAATCTTTTTTAATTGAAGACCTTTTAATTTCAACTGTCTTTTACTCTGCAGGTATATTATTCTGCACGTTTTTACATTGTAAACATTTACAATATAGTTAGGTGATTTAGAAAAAATGAGATTTTTGCATTTCTGAAATTACAGTGAAAATACAACCCTTTTGCTGTCCTGGGCACTTCAGAAGAGAGCAGTGTGGTCAGTGACTAGAACACCCTTCCCAGGTACCCCCTGGGCACCCACGGGTCTGTGGATGCCCCTCAGATCTTGTCACGTTCCATTGGTGCTGCCGCTGCTGGAGAGTATTTTTCTTTGTAATTATTTTAGACTTAAGTTTTTTTTTTTTTTTTTTTTTTTTTTTTCTTTTTTAACACTATGGTTTTCTTAGGAGAGCAGCATTTCCTTTGCCACAGAGTTTGACACCGTGCCCAGGGCCGCTGTTTCTGGGCAAGCCGCACACCAAAGCTGAGGGGCCCCTGAGGTGGCTGTGGGCAGACAGGCTAAGGGCAAGGCGCACACCCATCCTGGGACACAGTTTGAGCTCTCAGATCCAGTGCTGCGTGTGTCACCTGTGCGAGCACGTGTGTGTCCGGACCCGCCTGGCTGTCCGTGCCTGGAGCTCCGCAGCCCCCGCAGCCCCGCCCCAGGCTCCTCACTGCACTTTGACTCATCTACCCCTTGGCTGGGGATCCGCGCTGAGTTCCGGGTGGCTGAGGCTTCCAGCGCTGTCGTGAGGCTGTCTTGCTCTCGAGTGTGGGAGACAGCAGCCTCCAAGCAGGGCGCAGGGGGCCGGGCCTCGCCCGCCGCCATGGCAGGACGTGTTTGCTGGAGCCTGTGACTTTCTCACCTGCTGACCGACTGTCACAGGGGTTAGCAGCAACGCAGAGAGGCCGAGTGTCGGGGAGGCCCTGACGGAGGACTCAGCACAGTGCTCTGCTTCTGCACGCCAGCAAAACTCATCGGATGCTGCAGCGGTTGGGAATGTTTTTCAAGCCAGTCTTTATTCAGAACCAAGCAGTTTCTGTTCTTCGTATGTGAAACAGTCGGTCCAAGCTGTCTGAGGTCAGGAGGAGGAGGCCCTGCACATCACACAGGTGGAGTCAAACCTTGTCATAATTGCTGCCTCAAGTCTGTTTTTTAAATAAAGTACTTTAAAATGCATGGGAGTCATGCTGCAATATGATCATTCTAAAGCAAATATATATATTTCAAGATGAAACTAAGCAGTTTTTAAATAAACTACTTGAATTTTCTGTGTATTTAAAGTAATGGTTGTTGAGCATCCTCAGCAGACTGCTTCCTGGTTTGCTTATCTCCTGCCACTGATGATGCTTTGTAGATTGTGTTTTGTGTCAGAGGAGCAGTCCAGTGCCTGTCACAAGGAGGGTTCCCACAGCCTGGGCCTCCCTCAGAAGCCCAGTCTTTTGGAGGACTAGCTTCAGGGCCCTGTGGCTTTCTCTATGTGCTAACCTTGGAATGGCCCAGAGAGTATTAGGCTTGGACAGGGCAAGTCTGACCACACAGCTGGCGTGATAGGAGCCCTCCCACCATCAGTGTCCCTGTTGGCCAGATGCTCTGACCTTTCTTTGGGGTGATGGGCACATCTAGGTTCTCCCCTTCTGCAGGATATTCTTGACATGTCATTCTATGCAACTTGTTTCTTAGTAGCTTGAGATTGTAGCCCCTCCCTGGGACTTTGACCTGGGTTGTTAGACTTGGAATCTCCGCTAGAGCTGGGGATTCTGCTTTTCCACCTGGCAACTAGAGAGCAGGTGGAGCATCATAAAGAATACAGGCTGGGCTGCAGCTGGCCCCAACCAATCAAGATCTGATACAGGCAAACCAAGCACAGGGAACCAGCCAGGAGGGCCATGTGCTGCCTTGTGTCTTACTCTGTGACTCTGTGGACCAGTGGTACTGGTCCCCTCACAGCTGCATGTACAGGAGGCTCAGGCATGGCCAGGGTACTTTTTAGGAGGAAGGGGCTTGAGAAGACTGTCTGCGTTGCATTAGCCCTTGGGATCCCAGCCTTGATTTGACCATGACCTTGTGTACATACCACAAGCCTGGGCAGAAGCCACTGTGAGACTATTAACTTGCTGGAAAACAAGCCAGCGAAGGGCATGGTTGCTGTTTGCTCCTCGGTGACAGGAGTGGCTGCACACTTACTAGAGTTGTAAAGCTATAAGCCTTCCAGATGCATGTAACTGAGGTCTGTCTTGCTGTGTAGGTCTGACTAGTGCACAAGACTTTGGATTTAGGTCATAGGATTGATGCAGTCAGGTTCTGGGGGGCAGACACAGGTGACCCGGAGCTCTGGGTGTGACTCACACCCAGGCGTGGGAGGACCAAGTAACCAAAGCCTTTGCCTCTGTACTTCCCTTGCAATGAGATTACTTGAAACCCAGTGTCATCACCTTGTGTCTTAAGCCAAGAAGCAGCGATCGTGCCTGAAGCTTGCCTTAGACTGGCTCAGCTGTTGGTGTTTTTCTGTCACTGTGCCTGAGATGCAGCCCCAGGGCTTGGTGGGTTTACCGAGAGCTCCCAAGCAGCTCATCTGTAGCTGTTACTTGAAAGGCATGGATGAGTGACCTGCGCCTCTGGACTGGCAGCTGCAGGCCTGAGCAAGTGCCTACTCACAGCCAGCGCTGAGGGCTCATCCTGGAGTTGACCTCGTGGCACCTTCAGGGGCTGGGCTGCAGGGTTCCAGGTGGGTCCTTTGAGCATTTAGTGATATATCTGCAGGGTCTTGGCTGGTTGGATGCTGTACAGTGCACATAAACTTACTACCAGGATAGGGTAGTGCTGGTCTGATGGGCATTTTTGTGCCCTATGAAAGTCAACTAAGTAAAGATTGTTTTAACAAGATGCCCCTTCACACACATGGTGGAAGTGTCCCTGTATAGGTGTGTGAACTTATGTAAGAAGGGGCAGAAAGGGTTGAGGGCCACCCTGGCCAGTCTTTGACTAGTTCCCCTTGGTTGTTTGGTAGCGTGGCACTGTGCCACTTCCCTTTGGCTGGAGAGCTGGCAGTGGCAGTTGTGTTTTTTCTTGGTGTGAAGCAGGTCCTCAGCACAAGCATCTGAAGTGAGCTGACAGGTCCCCTGCTTCAGACCCCAACCTCGAAAGCCTCCGTCCCTGCAAGGGCTGGGCCTGGGGGCCACAGTGTGTCTAATTACGTCCCCTGGAAGAGGTAGGACTGTTGCTCTCAAGTGACCCGTGGCTTCCAGCAGTGCTCAGGGTGCTTCTGAATGGCATTCTATGGGCAAGGTAGGTCTTGATAGCTCAGAAGCCCAGAGCTGACCTTGGTTAACATGGCAACCAGGGCTGGCCACTTGGCTTCCCCAGATGATGCCAGCCTCTGCAGCTTGCAGTGTTTGATAGTGTGTTTGAAACACTCGGTGTGGTCTGAGTAGCAGCACCAGCCCTGGAGCTGCCCACCGTAGGCACAGTGGCAAGATCTGCGAGTGTGGCTGTGTACCGTGGACGCTGACTGACCTCGAGAAGGATGCACCAGGCCGCTCTTCTATCTAAGCCTCCATCTTCAGCTACCAAAACTGTAAACATGATGACTGGCTGCCCAGGGCTTCTCTGACAGCTGCTGCTGGAAACAGCCATGTGTGTTTTCGCCTGTCATTCAACATGCAGTGCTTCTGAGGTCTGCAGCTACTCTGCTGCCAGTCCGGCCTGTGTGGCTCCGAGCACCTGGGGACTCTGCCCAGCACCATCTGGGCCCGGTACCAGCTCAGCTGAGGTTGAACTGGCCCTTGCATCCAAGGGACCAGCCTGCATACCTCACGTTGTCTCTTCATCTGAAGTCGGCATCACCATGTGGGCTGGAACCCCAACCTTGGAAAGGCCCCTTGAGCAGTCCATCCTTAGACCTCGCAGAGAGCTGACTGGGGCACTGTGCTGCGTGCTGAGGACTGAGACTGCCTCTGGATAGCAGGATGACCCATTTGTTAGAAATGCACGGACACCAGAGAAACACCCAGGCACCTCGGAACAAAACGATTTAGTTCCATTGCGAACTGGCCACAAGACCAATCTTTATCAACTTATTAAGTTGGAGCACTATGATGATAGCTCTTGCTGATTTTAGCAATGATTCAAGTGTGTGTTAAACACACGATGTTACATTTTAGGAGGAAAAGGGATTATAAAGAGTAATACTGCACCTGACTTAGTTTTTATTAGGTGAGCAGTAGCAGCCTCTTGTCTGTGTCTGTTTCTGCCCAACTTTGAGTTTTTGTTTTCTTCCTGAGCGTTGCGTTTCCTCTGTCCTCTGCCACATGTACTTCCGGTGCCTGCTGTACCGTTGCATCACCGTCTCGCGCACAGTGCAGTGTGTCAGACCAACTTCCTCCTGCACAGAGCTAGTGCGGAGGCCAGAGCCTCCCTGCTTGTTTTCTGTTACTGTGATTGAGTCATAATAAACCTTTCCTTCTAAGGTGACCCTGTGGGTGTCTGTCACTGTCACTTTGCCCGGGCTGCCCCTGGAGCCTGGTAGATCAAGTGCCCTAGCAGAGCATGATCAGGCCTGCAGGTGGGGGTGGGCACAAAGCCGGCTCACTAGTTTCCCAAAGCTATCCAGGCTACACACCTGGGCCCACCATGGGGACCTAGTTCTGTTGTCCTGGCTTGGGCAGGACTGAGGCCATGTGGCTTCTCCTTGGGCCTGGTTTCAAGGCTGAGTGCTGAGGTCTTGGCCTTCAGCCTGTGGGAAGAATACCGGATGCCCCTAGGGAAAACCTTTGTGGGTATAAGGACTGGTTGAGGCCAATTAGCATGTGCTTGGCTGGCCAAGCCAGGAGGACAGGAGGTGACCTTGGTGGCCCCTGGTGCATGCAGGGTCCTGTGGAGCTGGAAGTGGGTTCCCTAGATCTTCCTTGGGTGGAACACATCTGGGTCTTCTGGCACCCTGCTACAAAGGTTCTTGCTGTCACAGCCAGTTGATAGGAATAAAAGGGCTAGCGGGATTCAAACCCTGAACAGGTGCGTTCGTTTCTTTATTGGTTCCCCTGGCCTAGAACACCAGGTATGCAGGCAGATCGGGGTAAGGGTGCCAAATTGGGGCAGGGTTGGGCGGCTGGGGATGAGGACGGCATCACGGTGAGCCTGTCCCCCTGGCATAGGTTCCCAGTCCTAGGGAGTGAAAGGATTCACACCTTGAGCATCTGCATTGGAACAGAGAGCAGAGTGCAGGGCAGAACGGGATGGAAAGTGAGGGCTCTGCACTGAACCTGAGACCACGCTGCCTGGGGGACAGGAGAGGAGGTGCTGTGCCCCTTTCTGCACCTGGTGAGTATGATGCAGAAGTCCCACTTGGCAGAGAGCCAGATCTACTAGGAAGTCCCAGGTGGAGGGTGGAGGGGTGGCCTTTTATGGGAGGGTGGCATGGCCGTCACACCCCCTTGCATGGCTACACAGAGATGTCACATACATCTGCCGATCCAGCCAGGTAGGTGACAGACCCCAGCTGTGCCTTCCGTGGCCTCCACCTAGGATGGAAGGAGCAGCCAACAGTGCCACGAAATCACCTTCCCAAGTCTCCACCCAGCGGCACAGCCTTCACAACGTGGTCCCCTCCTGGGCTCGTGTTACACTACTGTGTAAAACAAAAAGTGGGCCACTGCGTTGAGTTCTACAACGCATGAGCTCTGGTTTAGCAAAATACTGATTTTCACTATTAGTGCCTGAAGAGAGATGTGCTGTGTTATTTAAAAATTCCATTTCCATTCCGGGGATCAAATCTAGGAGCACTCTACCGCCAAAGTACATCCCCAGCCTTTTCTACTTTTTAAAAAATTCATTATTAACTTTATTGAAAATCAATAATTATATGGCAAATTAAAAATTGTAGACAAATATTGAAAT